TGTTTTTACATATTAATTAATAATTCGTTGTTCATCCACACTCGCTTTAGTTTCACCTGTAATTTTTTACATTTTTTAAGTACCGTATAATGTACCTTAATAGCATCCAATAAACCTGGTTATAAACATTTGCAGTTTTATTTAGAATATATTTTGCAAGTGTCGATAAATGCAAATATCGTTCAGTTAGTGTGCCTTTTTCGAATCAGACCGTTCAAGCAAGTGAAGCAAAAAAGCTTTCTGCCGCAAACCTAAATAGGCAGCTGAATAAAAAAAAGTTTTTTTGCTATCAACAATTTCCTACATCCTCGCATTATATTTTTAACAGCTTTTTTCGGTTTTTTCATTTAATGTGTTGCACGCAAGACGCGTAAAAAAAATAATTTGGCAACCTCTGCGGATGGGCGGAGCGAACGCAGGCGGAAGAGCTATGATTGGCTCGAAGGTTTTCCGCGCTATCCATTCCGGGTACGTTGCCGACTCACCGGCTTAAAATTCACAGCACCTCAATATAAAATGCCCACGACATTCTGAGGCGAGTGGCAACATTGGGACGTTGATAATCGCCATGGAGATGCAGCGTTGTCACGCCCACTATGTCGGTTTAAGTTGCTCTAACAAATAAATAGTCTGAGCAAGCAGAATCTATTTAGTTCGGATCTAGTGGGTTTTTCGAGTTTTTAGGCCGTCGTAAAATGGAATTTCTTCCTGACGTTTTGCAACCACGAGTGGCTTGCATCTTCAGAGGTAGTTTACTTGAACGCTTACGCTGCTCCGACGGACAGTCACTTTGAGAGGGAAAGTCACTTTGAGGCAAACTCATTCAATTATGAATGTTATTAACTTGTTTCGTCCTGCAAAGAGCACACAGAAAAACCGACTTCAATGCCACGGTTCTATTACCTAGTACTTTCAGATGAATCCGACAACGCTGCCAGAACCTGACCTTTTTGACCAGAGACATTCATGACAGCTGATTGTCTTGTCCGGCAAAAACTGTCAACTTTAGCTTCTGTGAACTTTAGCTGCTATTTTCGTGTGAGGCTTTGTAAAACTGGACATCAACAGTGTTTTAAGCGGTTAGCAGTGTTTTATTGGACTGCAGCGGCCTTGTGGAACAGTGGGATGTGCGGTGTTCAATAATGCTAGTTGAGGAAGACAAGAAACGTGCCGAAAACATTCTAGAAGCTTTTCAAGTGAACTGGATTTGCCTTAGGGACGCTGATAGTGGCCGAGTGATTTGGCAGGGACGCGAAGACATCAGCCAACCGGACATCGAACATGAGGCTCGAGTACCTCAAAACATCCTCAAATGTCGTGCAGTATCTCGAGAGTTTAGTTTTAGGTGGGTACCATATTGAGGCCGCTTGCACCCCAACACAAACGTTTTCTGATTTTCAGTTCCAAAGAGGCGATACAAAACTTTCGTCTGGAACAGAAAGTACTGTTTAAAGGGCGGTGTCTCGAAGAATGGAACTTCGAATTTGGTGCTGTTCTGCCGGCATCGACAAACACATGGCAATCAACCATGGAAGCCGCCCCGGAGTCGCAGATGATGCCCGCCTCCGTTCTCAACGGAAACATCGTCATCGAGACCAAGTTCTTCGACGAAGACCTACTGATCTGCACCTCCAAAGTGAAGCTGTTTTACGTGTAGTCGAGTCCAATCGGGCCGTGGATGGCACCAGTGCGAGCAAAACCGTTGTGATATTTATATTCCTTGCACTTTGCCACTGTGTGGAACACCTACTCGCTTTTCCGGACAGTTTCAGTTGCTTAACAACATTCCACGTGCAGCCCTTTTTGATGCTGTTTCCTGTTCAAGACGCTTCGCTCATTGCAACGAGTTTTTGTATTTTTGCACCGAATTGAACTAAATAAATATATTTAACTGTAATTATTTGTGTTATTTACCACCGGCCTGGAAAAGCGATGCGACTGTTGAAATTTTCGAAACGACGCATCCGCCTTTCTGTCGAGTATTGCTTCCTGGAATCTCGCCAGTTTGGTGGATGCGCCATTCCAGTGTTTCACTCTGCATATCTTCGTGTTCAATTAATGGGTTTTCACCCCATAAAAACCTGTCATAAACTCGTTTAATTAAGGCCGGGGTCTCTATACAAGTATTCGGGGCAAAAACAGCGGGCAATTGATCAAATCTGGCAAAACCGCGTCTAGCATGCGCTGCCCATCTCCCCTCTCCCGGTAGTATTTCTCCAGTTCCTCCTTATCGATCCCGCAAATTTTCAAGGTGGCCTCCATGTAGTCCATGTTCTGAGTCGAGTGCATCGTATTAATCAAACATGGACGCGTCGCGACGCCAGCGTCAGATCAGACGGGGCGGACCCGCACATCTGAGGTCGATCTTTGCGCGCTAAGCCCTTCGCAAGTCAACGAAACCCGGTTTGTTTGGTGTGGGGCATTAATGATATCCGTCTTCTCCCTTGGTGGGTTCAGCATCAACATGTCGGGCGATGGTAAGCAGAAATTCCACTTTTATGCATGCCCGGCACGCTTGGCTTATCGCCCCCATTTCCTGCCAACGACCGTCTAATTGCGCCTATCAAAGCACTAATTAGCATGTAGTTGGCAGGCAAACCCTAATCGCTGGCCTCAAAACGTCCTCATTCCTTTCAAAGCCAGTTTCCGGGGAAAATCCCTCTTCATTAGCTGCTGAATGCGCCGCTTTTGAACAACACAGCAAGTGTCCTTTCCAATGCTTTGTTGCCAGTTAAGCCCTTTCGTTCCAGAGAAGGACTACAAGCAGAAGCTGATCGCCTCTGTGAAGAAGGAGGTGAAGCAGGTGATGGAAGAATCGGTGACGCGGAAGTTCGTGCATGAGGAAAGCGGGTCAGTGACGTCGCTGTGCGGGGCTGTGGAAAACTGTCTTTCTCAAGGTAAAACCCAGCTCTACAAGTTGCCCAATTTGGAGCCTCAACAGCCTCTCTCCTGCAGGGCTGAGGAGGCGCGCTTTGGGCCTGTTCAAAACCTCGTCCACCACAGCGCTGTTGCACAAAATCGCCAAGCACTGTCCGGAGGCCGACCGCATTTCCCAGAAAGTCCAGGAATTGGAAAACGTCAACGTGAATCGCCGATCCAGCAGCAGCAGCGACAGCGTCACCAAGCCCCCACTGAAGAAGAACTTCTCCTTCCCCACGTCGCCTTTGCCCAGATACCTTTGGATCAGGTAAAGTCCCCCTTCCTGCTATTCCTAAAAAATGAACGTAGTTAACTAGCCACAAATATTTTAATTTCAGTTATAGCTTAATATTTCATGTTTCCGAAGCGTTCTAATTCTATTAAATAGTGAAGAATACAATTGCTAATAATCTACCAACTTTATTTAGTGAGAGTATCTAACTTTCTTTTATTCCCCTTTCCAATGGTGTCATTTCTTTTGCCACAATAATTATTTAGAAGAGAATTTATGATAATCTTTACCAGCTTATAGTACTGTGCAGATCACATTGGGGAAATTCTGTTAGTTGTTGTTGACAAAAACTTCTTTTTATTGTGTACTGCTAAAAAGTTATCTTCATCACATTCCAAAATTTTGTTGAAAACGAGATAACCATACAAAACGATATTTGTTACATAGTATTTTGGAAATTTAAGCTTACCCCTACTCAAATTTTTAATGAGTATGTGACTGTCTTCAACTTCTATTTGAGCTGTCAATGTTAAATTTGACTGGCACATTTGGCATTTAAATTTCTTGGACAAAATGTAACAACAATATCCTGCTAGGTAGGTAATGACAGGCATTTCATGTTCCACATTTGTAATTAAGTTTAAGTACTTTTTCAACTTGAAACACCGTGAACACGTGAAACACTGTGATTTTGGGATGGTGTATGCATGTTGCATACTCTGCATGACATTTGCGCTTCTTAAAAAGATCGT